CACACACACACACACACACACACACACACACACACACACACACACACACACACACACACACACAGGATCATGGAGGCAGAATCAAAGAAAAACTACACAGACGAGAGAGAGAGAGAGAGAGAGAGAGAGAGAGAGTCAGTGGCACCAACTGACCTAATAGACCGAACTTGATGGGCTGGTTGGCCCCGAGCGGCGGTGGCATGGTGAAACTCAACTCCTTTCCCATCTTGGCACATCTGTAGTAGTATTTCTGATGGGGTTGCAGCGGATATTCAACGCCGAGAACAACATGATGGATCAGTCCTGATTTGTAGTTGATGAATCTGTACTGTAAGCTGAAGCCTATGGCCTGCCACGTGTACTTTCCCGATTCCGTACCCCACTCTACAGCAGAAGGCACTCCGTAATCGCTCGTCGTAAAGGATACCATCATCTGATTCGGTCCAAAATAGCTCACGTGGACCTGCAGGCATGCACGGACCACCAAGAATCAGGACGGGCGTGGCAGTCAGATGCAAGTTCAAAACTTTGGACCTGGTCTAGAAAGAAATCGCATACGGATGGACCAGGATGGAACTGAAGTCCAAAATAGCTCGCGTGGACATGCAGACACGGATGCACCACCAAGAATCAGGACGGACGTGGCAGTCAGATGCAAGTACAGAACTTTGCACCTGGTCTAGAAAGAAATTCAGCACGGATGCACCTGGTTGCAACTGAAGGCCCAAAAATAGGACAGACGGACGAACGAATGAACCAGGCAGACATACAGAGGACCTGGTCTACATTTTGGACCTGGTCTAGAAACACGGAGGACGGATAGGCCTGGTCCCAATAGGGCCCAAAAAAATACGTTGCCTGCAGAGCCAAGGAATCGAAAAAAACAGGACCTGGCAGACAGATACCCAGGTTAAAAAATTTGGACCCGGGTTTCCAGAAGAGCCGAAGCTCATTAATGATCCCACAGCAATTTTTGCACTGGATTGATTTTTCGTAGGGGTGTATTCCCCGGCGCAAGGGCCCACTACGGTAGCACAGAGGATTGAACTTAACGCCTGAATGTGGACGTGTTTGTGGTGAGTTGCAGAAAATCTCAAATGATCTGCTTTTTCTGCATCTCTGCATGAAACACATCCAGATTCAAGCGCTTAATCCAATCCTCTTTGCTAGCGGGACCAGGCCCACGGAGCCCTGCTTTCCAATTCCGCTCATGGTAATGAAAGTGCTGACTGATCTCCGGGCAAAAAAAAAAAAAAGAAAAAAAAAAAGGACCCGATCTGGAAACAATTAAGGGGAAATAATAATAATAATAATAATAATAATAATAATAATAATAATAAGGACACGGACCTGCTCACGCCACCAAGGTCGACGTGAATATGACCTGGCACCGACGGGCTTTCCTTCTTCCCCCGAATACAACGTATCTGGTCATTTTAATAGCTGTATCTAGACTGAAAGATGCCTCAAATACAGCTATAATGACCGTCTACGTTGTATTCGAGGGAAGAAGGTAGCTCCGTTGGTACACCCATGAATTGTTGAAATACAGACCCAAGTTCGAATCCAATACACATTCAGATGAACAGAATAAAATAATAATTCCTCTTTTTTTTTTTAATAATTATAAATAAATTACCTCAGGCCGATCAAAAAAAAAAAAAAAACTGACATAGTCCACGTGTACCTTATCAATCAAAATTAACGTGTTCAGATCCATGTGGACTGACTTGAATATTCAGGGACGTCCACATGGACCTCATCCCAAAAAGCATGTTCCCATTTTTTTTTTTTTTTTTTTTTTTTTTTGGGTCCCGCATTTATTTACCTGATCCAGAATGGTTATTCCAGCCAGCATTTATTCATTGATTTTTGTATATTTACTTTTAGTGACGAAACCGACCCAGCGAACTTATTGTTTATTAATTTGCGTATTGCCCTATTTAATGTTTATCTTTCTGTTTACTACAACGGTTATTATTCATCCAAAGTAATTCACTCAGGTGACTCCGCATTTAAAATAATAATAATAATAAATTAAAAAAACACTTTGTCCGTCATGCACATACGACCATGATATAATCAACAGACAGATAAACACACCAAAACAAAAAAAACAAATCAGCACACAAAGTAGTTGCTACAAGAAGCGAAACGCAAACATACACACACACACACAAAAAAAAAAAAAAAAAAAAAGGAGACACGACAAAGCCCGGTGCTTTTCCCTTTCCGTAAGCCTCGCTCCAGCGGCTCCACCACTCACCAATTGTGCAAAATGAGAGTGAATCTTTCGCTAGAACATGGAAAGATACACCGCCATAACTTTTGCCTTTCATGCATGTGCTTATTGGTGGAGCTAGGCCTACCAGTGGTATAAAATCGCGCTACCCCCTATTTTGGAGGAAGAGGGTAAGTTTTTCGCCGGCAACCCCCTCCCCTTCTGCACCTCTCCCCCCCCCCCCCCCCGCCCCTGCTTCCCTTACCCCTGCCTTCTCCTCCAAGGGAAAAAAAAACACGTCAATTCTTGTCCGAAAATTAAACATTAATCAATCCGATTAAAATTTAAAACAAAACAAAAAAAAAATCCTTGTTCCCATGTGGCAATCCATTTAAACACTACGGATTTTGATTCGTATTTGTATTTTTTCTATTTTCTTTTTTTTTTTTTTGGTGGGGGGGGGAGAAGGAATCCAGGGGGCGAATTGAATCTGAATTGAATTTGCAACTGCCTTCCGTTTTTTTGTCTGTGTTTTTTCTAAGCCCCCGGAGCGAGGTCCCATTAGCAAAGAGGATTGGAAAAAAAAAAAAAAAAAAAAAAAGGATTGGGCTTAACGCCTGAATCTGGACGTGTTTGTGGAGAGGTGCAGAAAATCGCAATTGATCTGCTTTTTCTGCATCTCTACGTAAAAACCATCCAGATTCATGAGCTGAATCTAATCCTCTTCGCCAGTGGGAAATCGCCCCCGTCCCGGGAAACTGAAGGGAAAAGAATGAAAACAATTAACCAAAAATAAAAGAACAAGAAACAGTGCATCGCGTCCCTTCGCATGAGATCCGTTAAAATTGGAATTGGACCGATGTAGAGAAAGAAGATTGATTAGCATGGGCCCTGCGCAATTAAGGACGACATGCATAAATCGAGAAATGATCCCAAAAAAATAATAATAATAATAATAACAATAAGGATAAAATATGGGGCATCAGGACGAGGCTCTACCGTCACCATAGGCAAACGAAGGGATGAGAATGAAAAAAATAAAAACAAACACAAGCAGACAAAAAAAAAAAAGGAGTGGAAGGTGTAGGGGGGGGAGTGGGGGGGAGTACAATAAAAGGAGAAATGCTGAATGGCACAAAAAAGAAGAGAGCAGACGAGGAGAGCGAGAAACGACAGAGACGAAAAAAGAGAGAGAGAGAGAGAGAGAGAGAGAGAGAGAGAGAGAGAGAGAGAGAGAGAGCACCTGCTCTGGAACGTTAGGTCGTCGTCGGCCAAATTCATCGATTTCTATTCCGTAGGTGACTGGGACAAGTGGACGAGCGGAAGGGCGTCTGTACCGGTCCACCTCGTCGATGGCATACTCCACTGCGCGCTGAGTCCGAAAGAACACCATTAGCGCAAAGAATGCTGTGAGCACCCCGAGGAGACTGGACAATATTGCAACTCTCCGAGTCCTCATCCTCTCTCTCTCTCTCTCTCTCTCTCTCTCTCTCTCTCTCTTTTCCGTGCCTACCTTTCTCCTTTGAGAGTTACCCTCTCTCTCTCTCTCTCTCTCTCTCTCTCTCTCTCTCTCTNCTCTCTCTCTCTCTCTCTCTCTCTCTCTCTCTCTCTCTCTCTCTCTCTCTCTCTCTCTCTCTCTCTCTCTCTCTCTCGCTCTCGCTCTATACATACACGACTCGCAAGCTCGTTCCGTCAATCGACCCTTAAGGGCAAATCCCCAATTACGCGTCTGGGATGTATCTGACCGTAGTCGCGCCCAGATTCAATCAAGAACGTCATATAATGCGAGGAAATCCTCGCAAGCGCGTTCCGAATTGTGATGCGTCTTCAATGTATTCAACCCATCTTTCAATCTAACGGACGACTACGAATTGTGATGCGTCTTCAATGTATTCTTCCGAAATTGCGTCCAGATTCACCACTCAAGATTCCGTATTCTCAAACTTGGAATCCTCGCAACGGCCCACGTTCACTCAACAACGTCATATAATAATACGTTCGATCGTCGCTCACATGGAAAAAAGCGCAGTAAGCGACGCATCGCCTGCGAATTGTTTCCAGCAATCTAAAAAAAAAAATTCTGCTGCTTTTTTTTTTTTTTTTTCCCCACCCAATCAATCTATATACCAGCCAGCGACTCGGCGAAGATCATTCCATGTATAAGAAAATATAAAATCTATATATGTATCATATAAAATCGTCCCATCAATCGAGAAACAGAGACCGATAAGAAAGAAAGACGATGTGATGATCTTTTATGCAGTGATACTTCTCTGGTACTTCGTTTTGCGCGATGAATCCAAATTCGAAAACAATTCCACAGCTCTTCAAGATCATCCGTACTCCCGATCAGACACTCCACCTTATCCGATCAGATCCCGATCAGACACTCCACCTTATCCGATCAGATCCCGATCAGACACTCCACCTTATCCGATCAGTTCCCGATCAGATCTCGATGACGACGGCGATGGCGACTATGACGATGGTGCCACGTGTCTTTACCTCAAGCTCCGTACGATCATCGCTACCAGTCCATCTCCCATGAGATATCGACTCAGATCTTGATTGACGATGATGATGATGACGATGACGATGGCAACGATGAGGACGGCGATGGCGAGGTATAACGACGGCGATGGCGACGATGACGATGGTGCCACGTGTCGTTACCTCCAGCTCCGTAAGATCATCGCTACCAGTCTGTGTCCGACCAGCTCCTGACGATGATGATAATGATGGCCACGATGACGGCGATGATGATGATGGAGATGATGGTGATGATGGCGATGGCTCCACGTGTCGTTCCCACCGTTCGCGAGAGACACAGGTCGGGGACATCTAGGGACTCCCTACTTCTCATTCTTCGCGCTATGGCCGTCCCTTAGCTTTCTCGCGCTTTTCCTTCCGTTGGGCTCTCCCGCGCTTTTCCTTCCGGGGCTTTCCCGCGCTTTTCCTCAGCCATAAATCGCATCTTTACTAGTATTGCTAGTCACTCACAACGCAACACACTCCACTGAGAGCACTCGAAGGCATACATGATGACACTCGGGGCTTCCCCGCGCTTTTCCTTCCGCAGGGCTTTCCCGCGCTTTTCCCTCCGTAGGGGCTTTCCCGCGCTTGTCCTTAGCCATAAATCTCCCCTCATTGGTAGTCATTCAAAACCCAACACATCTCCACCGACAGCACTCGAATCGAAGGCATACATGACACTCGCACTTCCCTGCATGTATCTGACCGTAATTCCGGCCCGTTCTGGGTGTACTTGATCGCAATCGCGTCCACAGGGGAGTGAAAGAAGTTTAGTGTTTATTCCGACACGTCGGTTGTTAGTCGATCGATCAAAACCCAACATCCGTTAAAATTGGAACGATACAGAGAGGGAAGATTAGCATGACCCTTGCGCAAGTATGACACTCATAAATCGAGAAATGGTCCAATTATAGGAAGGAAAAAAAAAAAAAAACATCTCCACCGTCAGAAGCACGCCGGTCCCTTTTTTTTTTTTTTTTAATATTTTGTCAGCCGTTTCTCACTGATGTGGAATGGCATCTGTAGACTGCGGGCCCTCTGTCGTGGTTCCGTTTCTTTCACTCTTGATTATGGGTCTCGCTCCACTACATAACACTCTACATGCGTCTGGACTCTTTGTGGCCCACATACATTCCAACTGATGAACTCGTCCGAATGCACCACGGTGCAGAAAACGTCCAAATGCATGTAGAGTGTGTGTACTGGAGCGAATGCCTATATTTGGATTGTTCCTTCGTATCTGTTGGCAGTGTCGAAATCTTCTTTTTTTTTGTGGTTGAAAGCTTTTTTTTTTTTTTTTTTTTTTTTTTTTTTTTTTTTTTTTTTTTTTTTTTTTTTTTTTTTTTCTTTCTTTCTATATTCTTCTCTCAACTTCTGTTTCTGTATCTTCCACTACCTACTCCTAAGACTATCTAGAGGGGACCCCTGCAAGCATTGTTCTCCTCTCTCTGTGAAGGGGAGATTTCATGTTGCCCCTTGCCCCTAATGGTTAGGGTATAGGGTTGGGGCCGCCAGTGGGGTTCCGGCTAACACAAAGACCGAGACCTGCCAGTAGCTGCGCCTCCCTTTCTCATCGTCCCCCACCCTTCATCGAGTAGCAGCAGAGGCTATGGCCAACACTCTCCCACACACCACACACAACCCACGCGGGCTCACACTCACACCATGTTGGTCATAGACCCCGCTAATACCGATCAGGAGTATCCAGAGGACTATCCCTACAAGTGAGGTTTGGTTTAATCAAGAAATGGTTTGGTTACCTCCTCCTTTTCTTTACCTCTTTGCCCTTTGGCTGCGTGCAAGTGGGACCTTGTGACACGCGGGTCTTTCTTCGCCTTTGGGCTCCGATACTCTGTGTGACGATATGGAGGGCCAGATCCCACTACCAACGAGGGTTGGATTAGGCACCTGAATCTGGATGTGTTTTATCCAGAGATGCAGAAAACACATCGCTCACAATTTTCTGCACCTTTCCACAAACACGGCCGGATTCAGTTTGTTTATCCAATCCTCCGTGCTAGTGGGATCTTTTTTCTTTTTTCTTTTACACCACCACTACCTCCGGCCCTGTATTTGCCGAGCCTGATTTTCACTGGGCACCGAGTTTTGCCGAGCCGGGGCAGGTTTTTTTTTTTTTTTTTTTTCAATTCAAATTGCTTCGGCCTGCGGCGCACTTAGCGCCAACCGACTGTCATAGTCCTCTGGATACCCCTGATTGGTATTAGCGGGGTCTATGACCAAAGTGCGAGCCCGAGTGGGTTGTGTGACGTGTGTGGGAGAGTGTTGGCCATAGCCTCTGCTGCTACTCTATGAGGGGTGGGGGACCATGAGAAAGGGAGGCGCAGCTAGCCACTGGCAAACCGCTCGGTCTTTGCATTTGCCGGACCCCCACCAGCGGCCCCACCCCATCTCTGACTACCGCTGTTGGGGCGGGAGGCAACATGATTTACCTCGTGTGCGAGGGGCCCTATGCTTGCAGGGGTCCCCTCTATATAGTCTTTAGGAGTAGTGGTAGAAAGGTCATGAAAGGCGAAAAAACAAATTGAGAGAAGAACATAGTGTAGCTAAAAAAAAAAAGGGGTCAACTTCAGTAGAGTCACCAAAACCAGTTATAATTGCACTATGAGGCAAGATACAGTTTGCAATTGCACTTCCGGCACCCTACCTGGCCAGAAAATTGGGTTGTATACATTGCCCGAACTGCAATTTGAAACTGGCTCTTGGCCCATAGTGCAATTATAACTCTTTTTCTGACTCCCGTGCAGTTCCCCCCCCCCAAAAAAAAAAAAAAAAAAAAATTATAAACCTGAGGCCGGGGGCCTCACAATTCGACCCGGAGTTATCCCGGCAGCATTATCCCGGCAGCATTAGCCGGCTTCTCTTACAGCCCTCGAGGCCCTCTAGGCTCAAAAACATTGCATTCCTTAACTTTCACCCATACTGTACTCAACTAACATTTCACATAGAATCAGCAGAAGTTCAGCATCATCATCATTACCATTATCATCATTATCATGATATGAGGGACGCTGAGCCCGGTTCTCAGCAAGTTCGTTTCGGTCACTCCGGGTAGACTGTGAGGACCCCGGCCTCAATCTTCATATTGACAATATCAGCCTTGGGCACTGGGCCCGTTGGTAAAAAAAAAANAAAAAAAAAAAAAAAAAAAAAAAAAAAACTTCCGCCTCCCAGTGACTTCACTTCTGAGATCAAAACATCCTGCATTTTTTTACCATGTTTTATCGTGCCAGTTCTATCTTAGCTGAGCTATTCTATTCTAGCCTACCTAACCTATTGCCTGCACAGGCCTATGCGGCATGACACCGGCCTCAGATGGCCGGTTGGAACCCCTGCCCCGCGTCTCCATGGCACTCCGCCACCCACCTCCCCTAGTTGACCTCCTGCGGTCTGAACCTCTTTTTTTTTTTTTTTTTTTTTTTTTTTCAAAACAACCCTCGCCAGTGTTAGTGGTGCTGATAAGAGCCTCGAACCGAGGTACCCTGGTTCGTCCATCCCAGTGACCCCCCCACTACTGCTAGGATCTCCACTTTTAATTTACTTATCTGTCCCCCTGAGCCATGGCGAAATGAGCAGCCCTCTTGTGGAGTGTACTGCTACCAATTGGCGGTTTTGGCCCCATCTTCGCAGAAACCAGTAAGCTGCCTTTTGCTGCCCTTGCCTGATTCTACTCTTCTGCTCCAGTCTACCCAAATTCCCCGCTTCAGTCCCTTTCTCGTCATGTCTTTTATTTCATTGTCTTATCACGGCCAGTTTCTTTCTTTCTTTAAGAAAAAAAAAAAAAAGGTTTGCAAAAAAAAAATTGAACACATGGAGGCTGGGAGCCCTCCACAAACAACCCGGAAAGGATCTGGGGCCATTACCCAGTTTAAGCACAGTACTGGAAACCGCGTCCAGCGTCCCATATGTCTGCAAACTCAAAACGACAAATGGACTAAAAGAAACAAACAGAATCTAACTACAAAGGTACTGGGAGATTCTGCAGCTCAGTAGCAGGACATGTCCAGCGTGACATATGTCTGTGCTCTCGAAAGATTAGACGAACCAGACACGCAAACAAAACGGGTTTTAACAACATTGGCTAGTCGGGATCCAGTGTCCCATATAACTGCACTCTCAGAAGATGAAGAACCGAATGGATTCAAACAGAATTAAAGGAAGGAATCTATCTAACAAGGTGCTGGGAGTTTCACCTAGCTTCGCTTACTTCTGCGAATCGGAAACAGATGAGAGCCTAAACCGGCTTTCTGGAGAGAAGAGCAGTCTGCCTTTGGATCCTGGTTTGACCGGTATGTGTTTGGCGCCCCAAGTTTTCCAAAACCAGGTTGTTCCTTTCGGGCGGAACCGTCCTTGGCCTTGCGATACCAGTCAGACCAGATACACTCCCGACATAAGGTTCGCATGGCAAGTTTGAGCTGAACATCTTCGCACCGTTCCTGCCGAAATACGTGCGAGTTCCTCTCGTTCCAGATAGTAGTGGTCATGATGATGGCTCTGACGGTCCATGATGATGGCTCTGAAGGTCTGGCCCACGTAGCAGGCTGAGTTATCGCCTCTATTGGCCACTGATGGGATGCCTGATAGGATAAACTCATCCGTCCGGCCGAGGGACGACCAAGGTAGATTCGACCAGTGTCTTCGCCACCAGGACCGGATGCACTTAGAAAAGGGACAGTCCAACCAGAGATGACGATTGGTCTCCCATGCCCACTGACAGCGACAGCAGACTGTTGAGACTTCCATCCCTCTGCTTGCTAGGAAGGTTGCAATGGGTATGATTAACATCGACTGCTGCCACAGCGGACTCCCCAGCCTTTCAGAGGGCAGTTTCTTCAGAACTGCCAATGCTTTTCTTGTGTTCCTTTGTCGTAGCCTATCAGAGCTAGCTCACGTCTGCATTTGCATTTGCATAGCACGTCCAATGGGAAGCATGGTGCACGTTCTCTCAGCAGGCCAATACCGATCTTGGATGTATAGCATGCATAGGGATAGCAGATTTCCCATGTTGAATTGCAGTAATCCATACCTATCTAGTGGGGTCTACTTTGACAGATGAGAGTGGGGTTCCTCTGAATCTAGCTTTGGGATGGGCTATCCCGTGTTTGTCAAAGTTTAAATCTACTTTACACTCCTCAAAGTCTGGTATTACGATACATGTGTCCTCTGTTTCAAATCTAAGGGATAGTTTTTCAGTCCAACTGATCTCTGATATCCAGGTCTGTAGAATTGGAGGATTTTGGCTTCCACCCTCAATCAGTCTGTAATACGTTTTGTTCAGTCCCCTGTCCCGAGGACGATACCATTTATCTTCGACCGTGGTTTGATTTGCCTCGAGCATAGCCTCCTAGTGGGGTGGGATCGCCTCTCGAAGGCTCTGCAGTTTCAGCCCCGCTCCTCGCAGGTATGGATGGC